ATGGTGATGATGGTGGTGGTGGTGATGATGTTGATGTTGATGTGTATGCTGCTGATGATGACGATGATGATGCTTCTGATGATGATGATGATGATGATCGTTGTGATGGTGGTGATGATGATGGTGATGGTGGTGGTGATGGTGATGGTGTTTGTGATGATGATTATGGTGCTGATGCTGCTGATGCTGCTAACGGTGATGATGCGGATGAGGGAGACAGTTTTGACGCGGATGACGGCGATACCGATTACGCTGATGTTGAGGTTGATGATATTGATGGTGATGTCGATGTTGATGGTGATGGTGATGCTGGTGATGATGGTAGTGATGATGATGCTGATGATGATGCTGATGATGATGATGATGATGAGTATGCTGATTATGTTGATGACTATGATGGTGCTCATGATGCTGATACAAATGATGATGGTGGTTATGAGGATGACGATGACGATGCTCCTTACGATGGCGATGTTGGCGATGCTGATGATGATGGTGATTCTGATGATCATGCTGTTGATGATACTGATGGCGTTGACGGCGATGAGGATGAGGATGCCGATGATGATGATGATGATGATGATGATGATGATGATGATGATGATGATTAAGAAGAATATGATGATGAACATGATGATGCTGACGATGCTGCTGATTCTGAAAATGATGATGATGATGGTGATAATGACGATGCTGCTGCTGATGATGATGCTGATGATGTTGGTGCTAGCAATGGCGATGATGATGAAGATGATGTCGATGTGAATGACGATGACGACGGCGATGACGACGTTGATGGTGACGGTGATGATGCCGATGCTTATGATGAGGATGAACATGATTGTGGTGATGATGGTTATGATGATGATGATGATGCTGAGCATGATGATGCTGATACTGGTGCTGATGATGCTGCTGCTGATTCAAAGCATGATGATGATGATGGTGATGGTGATGGTGATGATGGTGGTCATGATGATGACCATGATGCTGCTGCGGATGAGTATGCAAATGATGTCGGTGCTAGTGATGGCGATGGTGAAGTGCTAGTGCTAGTCTAGTGAGTATGCATGAATATGCAAATGATGTCAGTGCTAGTGCTAGTGAGTATGCAAATGATGAAGCTGATGGCGATGTGAACAACGATGGCGACGGCGATGGTGACGGAGATGATGCCGATGATTATGAAGTGGATGATGATGATGATGGTGATGATGGTGGTGGTGGTGATGATGTTGATGTTGATGTGTATGCTGCTGATGATGACGATGATGATTATGATGATGATGATGATCGTTGTGATGGTGGTGATGATGATGGTGATGGTGGTGGTGATGGTGATGGTGTTCGTGATTGTGATTCTGATGCTGATGCTGCTGATGCTGCTGACGGTGATGATGCGGATGAGGCAGACAGTTTTGACGAGGATGACGGCGATGATGATTACGATGATGTTGATGTTGATGATATTGATGATGATGCTGATGCTGATGGTGATGGTGGTGATGTTGGTGGTGATGATGGTGATGCTGCTGATGATGATGATGCTGATGATGATGCTGATGCTGGTGGTGGTGGTGACGCTGCTGCTGATGCCAATGGGGATTACCATCCTGGCCCAGGTGGGGCTGGGGCAGCAGCAAGGCAGAGCACGGGCAGCCGGGGATGGGAGCAGGGGGCGCCCGGCAGGAGGACCATTGCACCGACTGCGACACGTACGCCTGGGAGGTGCAGGACGCCCCGCCCCCTTCCCAACTCCTTTGGAAGACTTGGTGATTTATCGTTGACCGATTGGTTGATTGATCGTATGATATGATCAATCAACCAATGGGTCAGCGAACGACTGGCCAGGAGGTTCGTGCCATAGCAGATGAAGGAAAGGCGTACACATACACTATCGGATGTCCGTCCGGATTTCTTGGATGTGCGCTGGACCCCCATGTAGCCACTCGACATCGGAGGAGAGAGTCCTTTCTCCGAGCCCCCTCCTTCCCGAAGAGGGCCCCGCAGAGGTTTCCAGGGGCCCATCTGGCGTTCTTTGGCACCCGCACTGAAGCGGTGCCAGTAGCCCGACGTGCGCCAGGAGGATGCCCGATGCGTCGAGGCTGTCGCGAGAGCTTGCACCGCCGCCGCAGCGCCGACTCGACGGCTCGACTTACCCATGTGCTTTTGTGTTGATTTTGGGTCGAGGAGGGCGACCTGCTGCTGGTCTTCTCCGACGGCGTCCGGGACAACCTCCACGATGCGGATACGGGCCCGCAAATCGGTGCGCTTGGGTGACCGATGGGGGGCAGGATGGAGGAGGAGGAGGGGGAGATAGGAGGAGGAGGAGGAGGAGAAAGAGGAGAAGGAGGAGGAGGAGGAGGCCCGTCGCAATCTTGGCCTAAGAGGTCTGCCGGCGCTACACTCTGCAATAGTTGTCCCGTATTTGTCTTGTGGTTGCCACGGGAAGCGTAGGTGCCTCGCCCAATTTGCCTCAATGACGTCAACAGACACCATGGTTCATGTCAATTGTTCTCTGCGGATGATCAGCGCTACACCCAAGGCCTTCTGGCGCCGCCAGTGTCGGACAGCTGGGCATACGGCACTGATCGTGGTGTGGTCTCTCTTGGGCTTTCGGCCACTGGCACGAGGAGCTCGAAGCGCGCATCCGGCTCTTGACGCCGCATCTTGCTGAGAAGATCCAAGACAAACGACCGACCTTGGTTCTGGGCCACACGCCAGCTCGGGACAGGGCATACGTGCTCTGCCTCAGCGGCAGCGCGAGGCGAAGGCCATCCAGCGTGGATGCCGTGCCAATAGAGAAAACAGCTCTGGGGAACGTATTAGCGGGCAGGTTGGACATCATATCATATGTTGCAGTTCACCATGGCCTTCAGGAGCGTGCCTGATGGCTCAGCGCGACGACAATTCAGCGTTCCAGAGCCAGCTCCAAGAAGGATGATGTCCCGCGCTGCACTGGTCGTTTTGGCCAGCGGTCCAGGGACAGGAAGGGAGCTCGTGAAGGTGCGCGCATTCCTGTTTGAAGTGAGGCTCGCCTGGCTTTGTCGTCTTTCAGTGGAGCCCGCTCCCCGAGTGCCCAAATCTGAACCTTGCCTTCAGCAGCTTTAGCCTTCACCCTAACCCCACTCTGAGTCCCAGCTTGAGCCTCAGCCATAGACTCAGCACTATCCTCAGCATTCGCCTTTACACCATTGTTGCTATACTTTCCAGCTGCCTTGGCTAATCCGCCGCCGTGCTAAGTGGCTTGGGGAGGCGGGGGGGATGGATGCGCTTGAGGCCTGAATGTCGATGTGTTGGCTTTATCCTAACGGGCCTGGGAGGGCCGTTAGACAGCCGATACAATCTTTACCAGGCAGCTCACAGGCGTTCTAAAACGCGCCACTGTCGCGCAGGCACGGCGCTGACTGATTGACCGTCAGCCAGACGATGGCAGTCGCCTTAGTCTTCCCAGACTTGCATCGGCGTGACTTTTTCCCACAAAGCGGAACCCGGAGGTTTAGACCATTTTCTTAGTTTGTCGTTTCACTTTGAGCCGTTTTTAGACGGTCCCGGGGCCTGGCAAACGCCCCTGGAGGGCGAACACTGTCAGTTACCGCCGCCCGACTGAATTTCTATACGATGCAAGGAGATCTTGGGAGGAGGATGGTCACAGTAGATCACGGATGCGTTCGCGATGCTGCAGCACGCCCTCCCATCACCGGTGCCGTCCCCACCGGTCCACACAGGCCTTCCTGTCTTGCTGCGGGAAGCGGCCCCTGGAAGGACCGGCGCCCTATGGCTCTGCAGCTCACGCGGCAGTCCCCTTTGGAGCATGGCGGACTGCCTTGCATTGTTTCAGTGCGCAGTCAGGCATGCGACGATGCATGGTCGTACAGTTCAGCGAGTTGTCCAGCGAGATCCCCGTTTTGAGATAGGATGGCCCCGCCAGCCGTGACCTGGATTGTTCTGCCCATGAGCATCGACGAAGTCTCCAGCGAGAGCCCTAGTCTGAAGAGGAGCCACCCTTTACTCGTGCAGCTGCTACTTGTGTGGAAGATTCTACAATAGAAACCAAGGGGTCTTCAGGCAAGGACCCCAAATGAAAGTGGAACCCTTATCCACCGCTATCCATCCTTGTAGATGCTGCGAGTTTCTTCGACGAGTGCGCGCGGCGCAACTGCGAGAGCCCCATGTTGAACATTATATGTGCCTCATCCTTGGAAGTGCGTGTACTTCTCAGACGTCTGTGCGCGGCGCTCAGTCGCGAGCCCATTGCGGTGTTGCGCAAGTCTTTAGAACCAATGTGCGCGGCGCTAGGGCGAGAGCTCCATTCTGAAGATGACCTGTGCTCCAATCGTGATGTTGCGAATTTCAAGCTTCTGGATCATGAGTGGTGAGACAGTCTCAGGCGAAACGACCCGCCCGCCATACGGACACGCCTGGGGGCGGGACAGGGAGAAGTTACCTCTAAGGAAGAGGATCGAGGAGGATTAGGAGGAGGGGGTGGAGGAGGAGGAGGAGGAGGAGGAGGAGGAGGAGGAGGAGGAGGAGGAGGAGGAGGGAGGGAGGGAGGGAGGGAGGGAGGGGGGAGGGATGGTGGTGTGTGTGGGGGGGAAAAGAAGGAGGACGAGGAGGAAGAGGAGGAGGACGAGGAGTTGGAGGAGGATGAGGAGGAGTGGAAGCGGAGGAGGGGGAGGGGGAGGAGGGAGGGGGGACGAGGAGAGGGTGTGGGCAAGCCAGCTGCGCTCGCGTCATATCTGACGTCCTACCCCTCCCTCCCATCTCTTACCATAGCGTAGATATCTCCTCTATTCGCACAGTCGGATGTCGAGCAGGGCAATGATCGCGAGATGCTACGCGATGCATGGTAGAGCACGGCATGACATGAGCACGGCAGAGCGTAGCATGTCATCGCATGGCGTAGCATGTCGCAGTGAAGCATTGCACCACAAAACGTCGCAACGCAAAGCATGGCATCGCACAGCGTCGCAGAACGCAACACCGCAAAGCATGTCAAGGCATGGCGCCGGGTTCCTTGGAGGGTAAGTGGATCGTCTTCGAGAGGTCTGGACCGGTCTGGAGTCGTGGCTCCATGTCTAGCCCCTTGGGCTCGCTGAAAAGCTCCACACAAGGCGGGGCTGATGCAGAACACCCGCTGGCCCTGCTTCCAACATCGCCTTCTCAAAGCAGAAACGGGGCTCCCGCTGGATACTTCCTGAAAACGACGACGCCCCAAAGTGGAGGGGGGCTTCTGCGGCCCCAAAAATCAACGAATCGACACCGAATGTGGAATCACTTCCGATGTTTTTTTCGGGTGGGCACTTTTGAAATGTTGGGGCCGGTCTGGAAGGACCGAAAACGCCCGCGCTGCAGCGGGAGCACAATTTGGAACAACTAGAGGCGCAGAAATGGGGCCAGCGCTTCAGCGGGAACTACATTTTGAAAATTAGCCTGGCGAAGGACCCAACAATAAGCAGTTGTGGATACCGCATTCTGGGTCCATCGTTCTATGAGGCCCTCGGTGAGAGGTGTGCCGAAATGGGGTGGGGCCGCCATGCGAACCCTGCCACTGACGCCTTCTGCGAAGCTCCCTATGAGGCCACGAACCGTGTGAGGGTGTGCCGAAATGGGGCGGTTCCGCCATGCGAACCGTGCCACTGGCGCCGTCGGTGGAGCTCATATGGGGCCACGATCCCGGTGAGGCGTGCGCCGAACTGGGGCGGGGCCGCCATGCGAACCCTGCGACTGGCACCCTCGGTGGAGCTCCTTATGGGGCCACAATCCTCGTGAGGGGTGCGCTAGAATGAGGCCGGGCCGCCAAGCGAACCCTCCCGCTGGCGCCTTCGGTGGAGCTCCCTATGGAGCCACGATCCTCGTGAGGGGTGCGCCGACATGGGGCGGTTCCGCCATGCGAACCCTGCCACTGGCGCCTTCGGTGGAGCTCCCTATGGGGCCACGATCCTCGTGAGGGGTGTGCAGACATGGCCCGTGGCCGCCATTCGAACCCTGCCACTGGGGCCTTCGGTGGAGCTCCTATGGGGCCACGATCCTCGTGAGGGGTGTGCCGAATTGGCTCGAGGCCGCCATGCGAACCCTGCCATTGGCGCCTGCGGTTGAGCTCCTGTGGTGCCACGGTCCTCGTGAGGGGTGTGCCGAAAGCCCGAGGCCCTTGCCACTGGCGCCTTCGGTGGAGCTCCCTATGGGGCCACGATCCTCGTGAGGGGTGTGCCGAAATGGCCCGAGGCCGCCATGCGAACCCTGCCACTGGCGCCTTCGGTGGAGCTCCCTACGGGGTCACGATCCTCGTGAGGGGTGTGCCGAAATGGCCAGAGGTCGCCATGCGAACCCTGCTACTGGGGCCTTCGGTGGAGCTCCTTATGGGGCCACGATCCTCGTGAGGGGTGTGCCGAAATGGCCCGAGGCCGCCATGCGAACCCTGCCACTGGCGCCTTCGGTGGAGCTCTTATGGGGCCACGATCCTCGCAAATGTCCCGAGGCCGCCATGCGAACCCTGCTACTGGGGCCTTCGGTGGAGCGACCCTCGTGAGGGGTGTACTGAAATGGCCCGAGGCCGCCATGCGAACACTGCCACTGGGGCCTTCGGTGGAGCTCCCTATGGTGCCACGATCCTCGTGAGGGGTGTGCCGACATGGCCCGAGGTCGCGATGCGAATCCTGCCAATGGGGCCTTCGGTGGAGCTCCCTATGGGGTCGCGAAACGCTGTATTGGGTGGGCGACACGCGGGGAGGAAGGAGGAGGGGAGGAGGGAGGGGGAGGAGGAGGGGGGAAAGACGCGGGAGGAGGAGAACGAGGGGCGCCGCCTCTTCAAAACGAGGACCCAACACCACAGTATGGTTGGAAAAAAAACAAAGCGACAACCCATTTCCTGGGAATCCTGTGTGTAAAAAAACGTACCCGGAGGGGGGTCGAATATTTCCCGGACGTCATCAGGGGAGAGAGGCTAGTAGTATTCATGTTGTGTAATTGTGGTGGAGGAGGAGAGGAGGAGGAGGAGGAGGAGGAGGAGGAGGAGGAGGAGGAGGAGGAGGAGGAGGATGGGATGGATGGCGGCCGCAGTGGGCGGGGAGCGGGTGCTGCGAGGACAGTTGCCAAAGGGCAGCCGGGAGGGGAACCCTCCTCGGCATGGCCTCGCCTTACATCCTGGCCCAGCCCTGCTCGGACACAGCTCTGGTGAGTGGGAGGAAATCCACCCCTGCTGCTGCCCCCTTGGACCTGCAGGCATAAGGGGCAGATGAAGAAGGGAAGCGCCCA